CCGCAGAGCTGAAATGCATGACGCCGCGGGCCATTGTCCGAGCAGTATGGCGGCAGGACTCTCGCCCCGCCCATCGATAGCGTGGAAGCTCTCAGATCGCTCCGCTGTTCCTGCGGGCCCCCGACGACAGCGCCGTATACCTTGAGAACGCTGCCGAGCACCGCAATCTCGTCATGTGATCCAGCCAGCAGCGCTCTGATGAAGTGGCCCAGCAGGCGGCTCGGTCGGCCTCTTGCAGAGCACGGCTGCCCCAAGGTGGCGACTTGCTTGCAGGTGCTCCAGGGCTGGTGGAGATGCAGCTGACGACTATGAGGCAAGCGCTGGCGTGGAACCCTTCGCGAAGACGCATGGCGCACCTCGGCCTCCAGCACAGGCGGCGCGGCGCCGACGCAGTGGAGCGCGAGCCCGCGCCCATGGCCCACGTCATCAAGCAGCGTTGGGAGCCGATCTTCGCTGCTGCTTCTCGTTCTGAGGGGGCTTTCGCTAAATGCCCTGATGCGCGCCTTCCTGCCATTCCGCGCAATGATCTGCCCCTGAGCGGGATCTTGTGGGCGCTCGGGGCGGGCCCGGTTTGCAGTCACCTCGCCGCTGCATGCGAAGCGGGCAGCCGTCCTATCTTGCCTGTGCCCCCGTCGAATCTGAACTTCCAGCCCAAGGAATGCCGTCTTGTTCCAGATTGGAAGATTCTAGCGCCAGCGGAGATAGCTGCGTTGCGCGAGGAAGTTTGGGCGGTGACCCCTGAATGGGCGGGGCTCGAGATAAGTAGGTTCTGCTGGTATATAGGGGTCCAATTTGGACCAGGTGCTAGTATTGAACATCAATTTGCCTCCGGGGGCCAAAAGTGGTGGTCCCGACGCAGGATAGTTGCTAGCACTCGTGCCCCCGCTGTCGCGCGTGTGCGTATCTTCCGTAAGATCGTCCGCCCCTGCCTCTCGTATGTTGCCCAGTTCTTTCCTTTCCCCCCCGACAGCTTCAGAAAGAAGCGCATGCTAGGCATATGCTGTTGCGTTCACCTCCATCGCTCTTCGCTCTGTCCGAGCTGAATGGGCTGAGGTGGCGACGGGCCCCCGAACCCATGCTGCGCATGAATCTGTCGTGCGTGTGGCAAGCAGCAGGGTACACTTTTCGGCAGTGGCGCGGCGCTCGCACGAGGAGCCAGGACTGTGTCCTCGCTGTCGGTTCTCTGTTGAGCGCCTTGCAGGGAAAATGGTGCGCACCTTGTTGGCGCATTCAGACTAGCATCGCTCAAAGATGCACGTCTCTCTTTGCCCCGCTCTGAGCCCTCCTCGTTCGATCCCCTCCCCCCCCCCCCGACCCTGGCCTCACATGAAGCCCCCAGCTGGCGCATGGAATACGAGTGGGCGGGTTAAAATTCTCCCACTGGCGCGTTGTCGGCTTGGCTGCAGCCTGCCAGGCGAGATCGCCCACTACATAGTGTGCCCGCGTCTGTGGGCCGCGGCTGCTCTCCTCGCGTCGTTCCTCCCCCCTGCGTGTCCTTGGGTCCGCCTTGGCGCGGGGGGTGAGTCTGACTACGACGTGATGGAAGGCAGGCGACAGCGAGCCCACGTGACGCTCGTGATAGCTTTCACAAGTTACCACAAGTTGAGGCCCATGCTGCTGCCGCTGGTCTGGGCGACCGACGCCCAGCTCAGGCAGGCGCGCGCGGCCGTTCGGGCAGCTCTCTCATTATAGACGCACGAACCAGTCCCATGAGGCACGTGCGCTCCTCCTCCTCCTCCTCGTCATTGCCGTCCCCCTCATACGGGCTCCACCCGCAGTGCGGCGAGAGCGCGAAGATAATCGCCCACTGGCCGTTATCCCGCTCCGTGCCAGACCTTTCAGTTCTGGCCTAGCTTCTTTGCGAAGGCAGTGGTGGCCTTGTCATGTGGGTCCCCGCGTGTTCCACGCACGCAGCTCACTGTGTGTGTGTGTGGCCGTCAGTCTTCAGGGGTCATGGGGCTTGCCCCCCCCAGCGTAGCAGGGGTAGGAACAACGCCTTCCTCCTCTGTCCCTTCATCATCACCACCATCATCATCATCGTCATCATCACCAGCATCATCACCACAATTCTCTCCATCACCACCACCATCATCATCTTCAGCACCCTCACCATCACCCCACCACCGTTCTCATCTTCATCATCACATCCACCACCACCACCACCACCACCACTACCACCACCACCACCACCACCACCACCACCACCACCACCACCACCTCCACCACCACCACCACCACCACCACCGTCACCATCACCACCACAATCACCACCACCATCACCATCACCACCACCCCTTCCTCCTCCCTTCCCTCCCCTCCCCTCCCCCTCCCGCCGCGGCCCGCGGGCGGAGGCCGCGCGAGCGCCGCAACCACGCGCGGAGGGCCCGCCGCGGCTCCGAGCCGCCGCCTGCGAGCGGCTATATATGGCGCCCGAGCGGCGCGCCGCGCGGCGGGCCCGGCTGGGCGCCGAGCTGCTGAAGGCGCGGGGGCGCCCGGGAGGGCCGACTACTCGCAAAAGTGACCCTTCGCCGGAATGATCTTTGGTGCGGGCTCATCTGGGTCCCCCCGATCGCTCAGCGCGATGCGATAGCGGCTGTTGGCGCGCCGGGCCTGGGTTTGGCCACGCTGCGCCCCCTTAGTCCTGCGCACCAAAGGTCACTCTTACCCAGGGTCACTCCTGCGTGTAGCCCAAGAGAGCCTCCAGGAAGGCCCGCCGAAACCCAGCTCCTGGATGCTCCTTTTTGGGTTTTTGAAGGATTTTTGAGCAGTTGTTTCCCGTCGGCCCTCCGACGGCCCGAGGCGGCCAAGGAGCCCCCCAAGGATCGCCCCAAGTCTGCCCAGGAGGGGCGAGGACCACAGTGGAAGCCAATGATGAGGGTGGGTCACCTTCCCAAGGGTACCTTGCATCCCTTTCCTTCGGCCCATCTTTGGCCACTTTCGCTGGCCGTGCCCCGCTCGAGAAGTGTCGGCATGGCCTTCCAAGGCCCTCGCACCCTCATCGTGCAGCCCTGCTGTCAGTGTTGACTGTAGGAGGGTGTGGATGCATGGCCAGGGCCATCATATCATGGCTTTTAGAGGACCCAGATATGCGACGTCCTGATTTTTTCAGGACGGCGTCCCTGGAAGTCCCGACCCTTTCCCCAGGACCGGTTTTCCGTCCTGAGTCGTTTCCTGACGGTCCCGAGGCCCGGCGAGGGCCCCCCCGGGTCCGAAACTAGCCAGAAACTTCCCGTCCTGATTTTTTGTACGACGCGATCATGTTTGGGGATGGGGGGATCTCACGGCCGGTGCCGTGATGACGGCTCCCCCGATTTCAGGGCGCCTCGCCGTCTATCACCACGTCCTCTGGCCCCCCCTCCCGATCCCCTGGGCGTGCACTTGCCTCGGGCCATAATGCGCACCTCACCTTACAGTGGAGCAGTGGAGGCCCATGCCAAGAAACACCCTGCTTGTCTCCAGGGTGCCCTGGGTTTCTTGGGCTTCGATGGTTCTTCTATGGACGGCGTGACGTGCCCACACCAATAATCAATGGACGCCCTGGGGTCTCAGGGTTGGGTTTCTTGTGGAAGGTTTCTTGTGGTCGGGACCCTACTGTATGATGGTCCAACCTGCTTTAGCCTTGATCACCACAAATAATTTTCAAGCATCAGGAAAGTACCGAAACAAGAGGGTTTTCACGTGTCGGGCCCTGGGATGCGATTTTCGTTTAACACTGTTTCGATACTCTTCTTGATGCTCGAAGTTATTTCTGGGATGATGTCCTTAAGTACGATGGGGGCAACATAAACCTCATCCTCTTCCCACTTGGAGACGGTCCCCTCATCTGCTCGTGAGAGTTGCCCTTCGCTGGAGTGACCTCTGGTGCGGGCCCAACTTCGATCCGATCGATGAGACTCGGCATCGATGCCGGCCGGCCCGACCCGGTTTGATTCCGACATTCCGACGATCCGATGCAGCCCGACGGCAGCCGATCCGATTCGATCTCGATTCCGTGCCGATGCAGCCCGATCCGATGCACAGTTCGAGCCGATCCGATTTGCCCCAGCACTCTGACGGGGCTAGGATTAAGTCGGGCATGACCCTCTACAGGAGGAGTATTAAACAATTATTTTAAAAAATTGTCAGGGGACTTTTTTTTGAGCATTTTGGGGCATCTTTTGGGTACTCTTGGAGTACTTTTTATTTTTCTTCCAAAATCCTCCTGTAGTGGGACAGGCCCGACCTAAGGCTAGGGCGGGGATCAATCCGTGCCAGAGTTTTCCGGAACGCTCTCAGAGCGTTCTGGAACGCTCCGAGGAGAAGGCCGCGGCTCCCGATACATCTTAGGAGGGAGAAAAACACACAGACGCAAAGAATCGTCGAGTTCCTAGAGAGATGGGAAAATATAGGAAGTGGGGGAAGACAAAAACCCAGAAAATATGATAAACTGTGGGGAATCCTGTTATTTGTGTGTATTTATTGTGTGTCCTTGGGCCCCTTGAACATCTTCCAGAGCAACTGGATCGGGGAAGCGTAAGACTCGAGTAAGCCAGAACTCGGGTCTGCCTGAGTTATTTGGCCAGCGCGTTCTGGAATTTGACGGTCCAGTTTTCGTGGGGTGTTTGCAGCGGGAGTTTCGCGTCAAGTTTCAGATTAGCTCCCGTCAGGCCAACCCGAGTCCCCCGTACCCGGGTCTTACGTCTCCGCGATTGGATCTCAGAGACTCTCGATTCACCCTCACCCGATGTTGTCCTCGTCCTGGCTTCGTCTTGCACCACCGGCCTGCGCAGTTGGTTTTTTGGCCCCCGCGGAACCCCGGAAAGCCGTGCCACTGGATGGCATTCTTGCCCAGGGTCGCTCTGGCGTGCAGGCGGTCCCCGCGGGGGCGCCCCGTCTTCCTCTTGTCGGGTATAGCCATCCTCCTCCTCCTCCTCCTTCTTCTCCTCCTCCTCCTGCATGCAACGCGGTGCCTCCTCCTCATCCGCCCTCCTCCTCCTCCTCCGCCCTCTGTCCGTAGCCATTTTGGCTCAAGCCACCGATGACCCATCGGTAGTGTGCTGCGAACGTGCACCATCGAGTGCTGGCGCCTCCCCCCTTCAGATCTCATGCCTGGACGCCGCTCCTTGGCTAGCCGCGCGGCACGCCATGCTCGGGTTGAGGAACGTAGCTTTCTTCAACCCCTTCCAGGTCCTGGACTACGATGGCTGGCCGTCCCACTGTTCCTGAAGCAGTCAGCGGCGAAGGTGATTCACTCCATGGGGAGTCACGCCATTGGTGATCGTCATGCGCTTGCTCCTCATCACTTCGCTCGCGGAGCTGCTGCTGGTGCGGGATTGCTTCCCGAGCTTCTTCGTCAGCGTCTCCGATATCATCGAGATGCCAATCGAGCCAAGCATCAAGCTGGTCTTCTCCTACAGGAAGCGCGTGCTGATGAGCCTGCTGCTCCACCGGTGGCTGCCTCGTCGGCTTCTGGCGCACCGCCGACCTACAAGTAAGTGAACACCGACAAGGTCAACTCCCTGGACACCGTCTCCTTGTCTGAGGTGATATCTGGCCATGGTCGTCCGCGTGATGATGTTGTGCTCCACTCGGCTTCTTCCTTGGCCGTGTTGCGGGTGAAGCTCGAGACGTTGGAGTACGCGCTTGCCGAGAGTGACAAATTACGGCGAGAGGACCAACGCGCTTTGGACTGCCTCCTTGAGAAAGTCAGAACCAAAACTCCGAGTTCAAGCAGGAATTGGCCGACGTCATCGCCGCGGCCGAGCACCAGTTCGCCACCGTCGCGGACCAGCTGGGCACCAAGCAGGCCTCGCTGATGAACGACGTCATGGCCATCATCCACAAGACCGCGACTGCCTCCACCGCCGACCTCCAGAGCGACAACGCTCACGACCAGCTCAACGCCAAGGACGAGATTGCTACCACCGCCGTGCACCAGATCGCCTACATCAGGGACCAGCCCACCGCCAAGGACGAGTCCGACATAATCCACACGTTTGCCAAGCTGCTCCTTAATCCTACTCCTGCTACGCCTGTGGACGCCGATGCCGCGCTGTCGTGCTCGCCCGCCTCCTTCGACGCGCAATGCTTGTACTCCCTCATCGATTCGTCCAAGTCCAAGTGTCCCATTGCCGAGAGTCAACTGCAGACGCTGCTAGCACGCCAGGAAAGACACCTGCAAGAGCTCTCCTCCTTCAACACCGTCAAGCAGACGATGATCAGCAAGTCCGTGGGCTCCGCCGAGGTGCAGCACATTCCCAGCCAGAAGATCGAGCTCGGTACTTTCGGCCCGGTTGCCGGCGACTCCTTGAACGACGTCCTGTTTTGCGTGCTGGACCTGATATGGAGTACAGATATTGCAGAGTGTGTTGATTGGCCTGGTCAAGCGCTGTCACCAAGCGAGTTATCCGATGGGATGCCCGATGCCGTGATGAAGCCCCCCGCCGACCCTGACTCGAAGCTGGCCGTTGACCAGCAGTGGCTCCTCCAGAGCGGCATGTTGGACATGCTCGGAGTGTTTGATACGTGCGACTGTAACACGTTTGACGGCATGTACGACTTCGCCAAGTGCCTCGGCTACGCTGAAGATGTGTGCTCCGAGTCCGACTGGTCGCATTCTGGGCTGGTTGGCGACTCCTACGAGTGCGACTCCAGCGAGTCCAGCGAGTGCGAGCCCTCTGACTACTACGCCTCCAAGTACTCCACCTACAACAACTACGACTGCGACCTGAGTCGGCAGGCCGCCGCGCGCGCGCGGTAGCCGCCCCGAACGGGACCGATTGGTTTCGTTCGCTCCTCCTCCGCCTTCTTCCGGACCCCGTTGTAAGGGGACCCTCCCGATAGTCACGAATCGTGCTCTCGCTCTTGTTTTTTTCTCGCCGTTCACTTGGGGCTCGAGCCTTCGCACGGGCTATCGCTATCGCTATCGCAGTACCTGCTCGCGCTTCGGCAGCCCGCCTGCTCGACCTGGCCGCTGGGGCCCGCCTTCCCGACCTGCTTGTAAGGGTCTACCCGCCCGATCAGCCCGTCTGGTTTTGCCGCGTGCTTTCTGCTCCTAGCCCGACTCCTGCCAATGACGTGCTCCATCTTTTTCCCTGTCCCTTCCATCCGTCCTCTCTTCCACTGTTCCACGGGCTGCGCCAATGACGCGCGGCAGGCAAGGAAGATCCCCCCCAGGAGGGTACGTTCGAAGACGAAGAGGGCGGGTATCGAGGTCTTGGGATATACGTGCTACTGGCACGCGAGCAGGTAAGACTGAAACGTCTTAACATGATGGTTGTTGTTGCTGCTTCGGTTGTTGATGTTATGATTGTGTGCTGTTGTTTGTGTTGGATGGGTGCTTGTTGCTGTTGGGCTTTGTGTTGAGTTTCGTGTGACCATGCACCCCATATTCAAAGGATGGGGTTCGTGTTCCCCATATCCGAAGGATGGGCTGCTTGTTCTTACTCCGACCGCGCCGAAATGGGGCCGCCCACTCACCTCCTTCCTCCTCCTCTCCCTCGCCCGGAGTCACTCCCGGATGTTATGTTATGGAACGGCATGTTCTGAAACACGTGTTGTTTTTATAGTTTGCTATGGCATGGAACGGTATGCCATGGACGGTATGGCGTGCTATGCTATGGCATGCTATGTGGTGCTATGCCATGCTATTCCATGCTAGGATATAGTTGTTATGGTATGGCGTGGTATGGAATGGTGTGTGATGTTGCGATGCTACCGTTTCGCATGATTATATCATGATATTGGGGAATTCGTCCATTATCAGTCTGCTCATGGTCCAAAGATGGTTCTGGGAGATTTCAATGCGAAGTTATATGACAGAAGGATCGACGAAACGGCAGGTCGTCGGACCATATGTGTTTCGGCATCCGGGGCAGACTTGTCAAACTGACGCGAACAGACACCTGCTGGTGGAGATGCGTACGCAATTGGGCATGCGCATGTCCAATACATCTTTCCCATACTCACGAGAGCAGCTGGCTACCAACTACAACGTAGGACGGTCCGCCGGCGAAACAGTGGATTGGAGGACCCATTCCCAGATAGATCTTATGTTGTGCGCCCAGTCTTGGTCTCATAGTGTGTTCGATCTGAGCGTCTGCCGGGACACGCCGCTTTCATCGCGCCATTTTCTGTTGCAGTTGCGCGTCCGCGCGACGGTGGATAAGACGACGCCCGAAACCGAGGCTGCCAGGGCAGACGCATCGAAGTTTAAAAACTACGACGCCTGACATAAATTCACGCATGAGCTTGCTGATGCACTGGAGGAGTTTGCTACCGCGACGCCGGACCACACCGACGTGAACCTAGCGTGGTGCCAACTCACTGACGGATTCCTCTGCGCCTCGGGGTGCGCCCTCCCGCGGCAGACCAGACGCCCGAGGAAGCCGTGGATACGGCTTCGAACGCTGGAGAGCATAGATCGTCGCGCCGTGGCCAGACAGAGGGGGGACCGGGCAGACGAGACTATAGTGGCGAAAGAGATCAGAAAAGCAGTCGCAAGCGACCGGGCCGCCTGGCTGCAAGAGCTGACTGCGAAAGGAGACTGGGGCGAGATCAGGAAGCTTCGAAAAGGATTCTGCCCGCAGCAAGGTCGACTCAAGAATGGTGCGGGCCAGCTCGTGGACAGCGACAGCCGGGCCGACGCTCTGGCGGCGCATCTAGAAAGAGTGCAGTGGGCAGCGCGCCCTACGACAGCAATGCCCATGGACGCCTTGCACGAGAACGAGCTGCCGATTGTCCTCGACGCCATCACAGAGGCAGAAGTAAGCAAGGCAGCGGGCAAACTTAGGCAAGGCCGAGCTGGGGGCATGGACAACATACTTCCGGAGTTCTGGCGAGCAGCATGCGAGGACGGCACGCGGGCGCTGGAATGGATCACTCGTTTCTGCACTTTGGTATGGGAAAAGGGGCGACGTGCCAGATGCATGGCAGAAGGCGAAGGTGAGAATGATTTACAAGAAGGGCGACCCCGCGGACTGCAATAACTATCGCCCGATCGGCTTCCTCCCGATCGGATATAAGATGTTCGCACTCGTAATGCTCCGGCGCATGGCGGAGCAGCGCATATGGAAGACACAATTCGGATTCAGGTCTAACTGTGGTACGGCTGATGCAATATTCATTGCCCGGCGATTTCTCGAAGCAACGTGGGCTGCTAGAGACGGCAAGACTGTCTTCTTGGCTTTGGATTGGGCGAAGGCCTTTGACTGCGCGTCGCCGGAGGCGCTGGCAAATTCTCTGCGGAGGTGTGGCTTCCCAGGCCGGTTCGTCAACATGGTCGTTGCCAGATATCAAAGCCGCAGATTCGTGGTCGACGACTTCGGCGCCAAGTCGCAGGAGAGGGCGCAGGAGTACGCCATCTGTCAGGGGCGCCCTCTGTCTCCATTTCTGTGCGCAGTTGTGATGACAACGCTCCTACATGATGCCCACAAGGAGCTTCGTGAGCGACGAGGTGGACTGGTGCCGGAGGAGCTGGTCCGGGATTTGGTGTACGCGGATGACACCCTGCCCATGGGCGCTGACGCTGGTGCCGTCCAGGAGCTGATGACGTACGTCGAGAAGTTTGGGGCGAACTACGGCCTCCTCTTCAACTGGAAGAAAGTGGAGCTCATGAAGGTGCGGACGGAGGACGGCGTCACGGACAACACTGGCGATCCCATCGTCAACAAGCAGCCCCTCGTCTACCTGGGCACGACGCTGTCCGCCGACGGGAGGTGTGCTTCGGAATTGAGCCGCAGACTCGGGGCAGCCATGCAGGACTTCAAAATATTACACGCGATTTGGTCACATGCCTCCCTGACCAGAGACCAGAAGATACACATATTCAACGTATGCGTGGTGTCCAAGCTGATGTGCGCCCTCTTTGCTGCGTGTCCGAACCAAGCAGAGCGACGTAGGTTAAAATCGTTGCATCAAGAGGATATGCCAAATATCTCCGGCGTACATCAACAAAGTATCCAATGCCATTGTACTTGGAATCGTCGAGCAGCCGAAGCTCAGCGACTGCCTCGCAAGACGGCACATGATCTACATGGGGCAGCTAGCGCGCCGACCTGGCCAAGATCCTGTGAGGCGATCGGTGTTTGAGCCGGGCACCCTGGAGCTACGCAAGGTGGCCGGCCCGAGAAAGCGGGTCAGACCGAGGCAGACATGGGGTCATTTAGTCTGGAACAATTGTCTCAAGGTCGCAGGCTCCCGCGAACGACTCGCTGTTTACTTCCACCCGGAGGGTGGTGCAGCTCGAGCGTGGGAGCGCGCGGTGAAGGCGTGGACCAGATGCTGAAGGCACGCTGGTTGCATGGTTCGCGCACGTTGTTTTTCACCCCTGCTCACGCACCGTTTGGTGCAAGGCGTATTTGACTTGACTTGACTATTCCATGCTCGGATATATTTGTTATGGTATGACATGGTATGAAATGGTGTGTTATGTTGTGATGATATTGTTTCGCATGCTGATGATGCAGATGATGATGAGGATGATGTTGCTGCTGCTGCGGATATTCATTCTGCTCATGATGATGGTGTTGCTGGTGATGCTGATGACGATGATGGTGGTAGTGATGATGATGATGATGATGATGATGATGGCGGAGGCGCGGCGCGGCGCGGGTCGAAACACCCCCAGGGGTATCTCATTCTTCCGTTCGCGCCACAATGGCGTGGATGTCTCGAGCGGTACGCATGCTTGCCAGCGCAGAGCAAGGGGGTGTCATGTGAGACCACGCGATCGTCCAAGTACCCGTAAGCTCTACTGACGACGCAAGACTTAACCTGCGACGGGTCGTACATGAATAACGCCTGGTGGTGTCTCCGGCGACGCTCTGGCTTTCGCGCCCGAGCGGTTTGCTTGTTTAGTCGGCCAGGCTCGTATGCGTTCAAAGCACCGTCTGAGGATGCCTCGGGCTAGGCGTTGGTTTTCGTACCCCAGGGGGGCCCAGAGTGTGAGGATGTCTCATATCCACTTATGGTCAAACCCACTCGCCTTTAGACTCGTACTCACCATACTCCTCATGCTCAGACTCATTCGCCCTCGGATTTACGCACACCCAGAGTTACTCACACTTCGACCCATCCACCTTCAGACCCACTCGTAGTCATATTCGATCGTACTCAGACCCACTCAGACTGAGACTCATTCTCATCATTTTCTTACTCAGACTCACTCACATTCGGATTTAGTCACATTCAGAATCGCTCACACTCAGACCGCCTCCTCGCGGGTATCTCACTCTTCCTTCGCGCTCACAATGTGGGGCTGTCTCAAGCGGTTTGCCCGTTTGGGTTCCCAACATCCTCCGCTTTCGGAGCAGTTTTTGGAGATGCCTGGGGCGAGGCGCTGTTTGTCGCACCCCAGGGGGGCCAGATGACGAGAATGTATCAAGCGATTTGCTTGTTTACTCGTGGAGACTCGTGGGCACGGATCCCCCCCAAGATGCCACAGGAGGCTGCAGCAGGCTCCAGAAAGCTTCAGGAGGCCCCAGGAGGCCCCAGGAGGTTTCAGGAGGCAACAGGAAGACCTAAGAGGCCACAGGAGGCTCGAGGAGGCCCCAGTAATCCCCGGGAGGCCCCAGGAGGCCACAGGAGGCACCAGGAGGCAACAGGGGAGGCTACAAGCGGCTCCAGGAGGCCCTACGAAGCACCAGGATGCCCCAGGAGGCCACAGAAGGCCACAGGAGGTCACGGGAAGCGCCAGGAGGCACCAGGATGCCCCGGAAGGCCCTAAGAGTCCCTAAGAGGCCCCAGGAGCAAGAGGCGTCAGAAGGCAACAGGAGTGGCTCTAATTCAGAATGTTGTTTCGCATGTTCTTATAGATT